TCAAATATTAAAAGCAGTTCAGAAAAAAGGTGGGGTTTCCACAATTGTTTTGTGAATCTTGGGTTTTACACTGCATGCCACCATTTTGGGTTCCAGGTAAAATAGACCTATTAAACAAGTTATATAGCCCAATAATAAAGTGCTCTGACTTTGAGTGTGTTGTCATGCACCTTTTGTCCTCTCTGCAGTGGGACGGCCAATTAAAGTGGAGAGAAACAGAAAGCCAACAGTTGAGGAGATGGATGCCCTTCACCAGCTCTACATGGATGAACTAAGCAACCTGTTCGAGGAGCACAAAGGCAACTATGGAGTGGACAAGGACACTCACCTGAACTTTGTCTAAACTAAACTGAGGATAGAGACTTGAATGCTTATTTATTTCTAAAGCTCCAGCGCTGCATGTTCAGATAATTGTCCATTTTGATTTGCTCTTAACTGCCCTGTCGATTAAAAATGAATGGAACGAATGGGAATGCTTTTGCATCTGCTGTTGTTTTACAGGTTGTTGTGGGGAAAAGGACAAAGAGGCAACTAATGATACAAGTCAGGCTTTCCTCACTTCTCCCAGTTGTTTCAATTCTCTTGAGTTTTGGATTTTGTGCAAAGTCTAACACTTTCTCAAATAGAGTCATAGGTTGAATTTGGGTTGCAACATTGTGGAGACTCAATAAATCTGTGATCATTTCAGTATTTGGTATCTTTATAAACTCTGAAGGGTGAATACAACTAAATTGTCTTCTTTGTTTGTGTGTTATGACCTTGAGACATTAAAGTAATGTTGGGAAATTGTAAAGCAAATAAGCAATTCTAAAATACAAGATCTGAGGTATTTTTAAATATGTAAAACAATGAAACTCTCAAATGTTTTATTATGCTGTATACTGTATATATCATTTATGTGAAATGTGTCTTCTTGGTATGAATTAGAGTTCAATCTGGTCATATGTAGATTAAACACACTCACATATGAATACATGTGTCATTTGATGGTTTTGGATCAGGTTCCCTTGTGACTAGACTGTGAACTTTGGCAGAGACTTTTTATATCAGATAGCAAACTGATATTTCAAAAATAAAATGACTGGCAGACTGGACAATGCCCTGAACCTTTCAACACAGTCTGGACAAGAAGTGTGTGTGTGTGTGTGTGTGTGTGTGTGTGTGTGTGTGTGTGTGTGTGTCTGTGCTGACTAAAAGCTTACAGCAGAACTATGATGCAAAGGAAGCAAATGATTGTGAAAATATAGTATTTCACTTTTTCAGATTTATACTCGACCACTGCGATCTAATCAGTTCATCTTTGAGTCCAAGGAGCAACAGGTCAAAGGAAGACTTGAGAAGTCAAGTGGCCAAAAACCTTTTGTTTTGTTATGTCGCAGTGATCCAAATGTGTTAATATTCACAAGAACAGGTCAAGTGACTTTGATTCAGTTTAAGTGAATGTTTGTACCAAATTTGAAGACAAAAAGCTGTTCATGATATATTGTGTTTGACGGACGGATGGACAACCTGAAAACATAATGCCTCTCACCACTGGCTGCCTACGGCACAGTGACATAAAAACAGATGATAAAAGGAGAGAGGTCAATCGCCATCTCAGACCAGCTGAAACCAGTCAAATCAGGGAGCGTGATGTGTTGGTATGTTCACAGTCACAACAGACATATCACCTTCATATCTTCATTGTTCATTCGGTGTTAACTGCAATGTTAACGTGATACAACTGATGGAAATGATGGTCCAGGATGTAGGTCTAAAGGGCACTCCTTGATATTAATCACACAAGGACCAGGTGTTAGGACACAGCTGCTCACAGTTGATACTGTTTGGTTCCAGATCTCTCTGCCATGGGTGTGAGTGTGTTCAAGGTCACTGCATTATTGATTTATATTTGTGGCCAAAGTACAGAAGAATCAAAGTCTTTTGATCGGCTATCTGCTCTAGAGATGCAGTACACTGCATATACCACATAAGAACATAGGATGCAAAAACAAGACGTGTAAGATCCATTGCTGTGCTGCATATTTTAACACATACAGAAAAAAGTAAAAAGTAACTGTGAAAACCAGATTTGAACTCATCACATCATGACAGATTTGCACAATAAAGAACAATCAATGTCAAAATAGACATTTGAACCATAGGTAACATGAAGGGTAACATATATCAGTGGTGGAGTGTATTGAAAAGTGGATGATCAAAGATAATTATACCTCTCATTGTCACAGGAGCCAAAAAACAGTCCTGCACCTGTCACCACTAAATACTGTATGTGGTATCAGTTCAACTTTTGCAGCAAGTACAAAGTGTAAAAGAAGTTTTCAGTAGAAACTGAGTGAACTTATTCCTTTGATTAACTGGGACTGTGGTTAAAAAAGTTTCTAGGAATCATGACTTCAGAAGAATCATTACATCAACGTGTGGGTTTACTGAATCTATCTAATTGTTCACTTGTGCTTTTTGTTCATATAGTTTCATTGCATTGCGGTGAAGAAGAAGAAAACGGGCGATAAGCTAATCAAATGAGAATACAGAAACATTTGAATTGTGGACATTTTTTTCCAACAAAAGGTTCAGCTGTGCTCCCTTGTCGTGCTTTATAAGTCTGACGTGTTAGCACTTTTGCTGTAAGAGACATTGCTCTGTTAGACCTCTGAGAATGTATCAATTAAATAACCCATTTATCAACCATACGATTATTCAGTTATTATTTCACGACGAATATATTCAACAAAAAAAAGAAAAAGATTTGTGTGCAGAACTCTTTTTGGTCTTCTTTTGCCTCAGCTTTAACCTATGAGTCCAAACACCAGGTTGGCAACCACTGAACTAACTTACCCAACTGTACATAACATAGTTTAAATGATCTCCATCATGAACAAGTGTGAAAGTGAAAATGTTACTTATGAATCCATTCAACTTTATTAATGTACTAGTATATGTGGTCATTTCTCAATCATAGGGGACAGAATTCTGCAGAATAAATACTTTACATTCTGAAACTTGAGGTACATTAACCTGATACTGCACTTTTACTCAAATTTAAATCCATGACTGTCACATTTATGATTATTTTTACACTGTTTCATTGGTACTTTTAGTTAATGATGTATCAAAGAAGAGATCACAAGAAAGCTAAATGTCTCCTGGCTGCAGCTTCATAATCTCATATTCAAATTCTCTTATTTTAAGGGATAATGAGCATGTTTGAAAATGGAATTCTATTCCACTCATATGCAATTCATTAAACTATTTAAAATGAAAACTGAATCAAGTTTTTTAACATGTAAAACAACTTAAAAACATACGTAGATAATGTATTATTTCAGCTTTATATTTATCTATTCATGTGAAATGTTGCTTGGCATAAATTATGATTAAAGATGGTTTTTATCATATGTAGATCACCCACATATGAAATCATGCGTTATTTATTGATTTATTAGCTCTAAACTAATCAGACTGGTGTCAGATCAGGTTCCCTCATGATGAGACTGAACTTTGGCAGAGACTCTTTATATCACATAGCAAACTTTGATATTTCAAAATGAAATGGCTGGCTTTCAACACAGTCTGGACAAGAAGTGTGCGTGTGTGCGTATGTGTGTGCTCAGAAAACTGCCCACTAAGGGAACAGTTCATAGCTGAACTATGAAGCAAAAGACAGAAACGATTGTGAAAGTATTGTAAGAATAAAAAATCTAAGCAGACCATCACCATCTGAAACCAGTCACCTATAAATCAATGAGTGTGATGATGTGTTCACACTCCCTTCCACAGTTTCTTCATTTTTCATAAGGAGCAACGCTGCAATTGTAACATGAAACAGAGAACTCATTGACTGGAAGTATATTTGTGTTGTTTGGACTAATCTGCTTACAGGTTATAACTGTAACTGGACTCAGGTTAGAGTGAGGTCAGGGAAACAACATTATTGACTTATTTTTCAAGAAAGTGGTCAAAGTACAACAGATGTATTCGCTGGATCCTTCTGTTCATATCTTATCTTGGCTTTTTCCTAAATGAAAACAAATTGTAAATAGAGTTCCCATCCTCTGGGTTAGTGCAAAAATATGCTGTATATATATTAGCAACAGTAGCCTGAGCATTATCAATGAATTAAAACAAATGAAAAGCTGTACAGGAAAAAAAACATGATTCATTTTCAATTCTTTGAGTAGAAAAATAACAAAGGAAACATGATAACAAAGTTGTATCTTTACAGTATGATTGACTATCTGCTCTATAGATAAAGTGGGTTATATATGAGACAGGCTGAACCACGGTGTGTAAACAGGTTAATTGTGGTGTTATGTAGTAAAACGTATACAAAGTTATCTCTGCCAATGTAACTTACTGTAACATAGTCTGCAGCTGCACATGTCTGCCTCTGCCTGGTTTATTGAGTGTGTGTGCAGTGCCAGCTGGCAGACTCAGTCACTGTCAGAGGCCACAGACAGCAGGGCAGACACTACCTGCAGGAGATTTACATGATGCAACCCAAAGATGCCGATACTATTTAATATGTGATATAAGCAACACACAGCATTCAGTAATCCGCTGGCAAGGAGTTGCATGTGTCAGCCCCAGAGAAAGCCAGAGAGGAGGTCCGCTGCTACCACACAATGGCAACAACCACTGACCCAAGATGCATCCCTGTAACTGGTCCTCAGACCAGTACACTGACCGAGCATGGTGTTGCAACTGAACTAAACGTCAAGTATAAAACATCAAATGTGACACAAGGCTCATGAGTCCATCAGGAGCATCTGTGTGTGTGTGTGTGTGTGTGTGTGTGTGTGTGTGTGTGTGTGTGTG